GTCTCCTGATGATGTAGATAGGACAGCCTTCCCCTCTCAAATACAGTAGAACTGTAACACTACATGCCAATGAGAAATATATAAAAAGGCTTTGAAAAAACCCCAGAAAGCATTTCTAGTAAATGCAAGGCTTATAATGCAGGGTTAAGCTAGTCCCAGCAAATACATTGCAGTCACTCAGTCTTACATGTTCTACTTTCAGTTTACTTCTAGTAAAAAGTTACTTAACTATGTCACTTTAAGGTACAGTTGCCTTGGAACAGAGCAAAGATGATCACATCATTTAAATTAGAAAAATATATTTTGTGGTTTAAGGTTACATACTCAAATACATTGAATTTCAACTTCAAAAAAAGATGTTTGCTGAGGACTTTTTGTAAAATTTCTTCAGCTCTCTTTGGAACCAGATTTCCTTTGGTGAGTTAAAATGTCTTTTTGAGCAACAACAACAACAAAAATTCCTCTTTACCCCTTTTCCTACCCATAGCTTTACCAGGAGTGTATTTACTGACTTTGTGGTTCATCCCTGTATGCCTTGCTCTTCCAGGGAAATGGTTTCTACATTCTTTCTTACTTGTACTGTTTTAATTTTTTGTTTGTTTGCTTCATTTTTAAAGATTGATTGATTGACTGATTGATTGATTGATTGATGTGGTACACAGTCTCATTATGAAGTTCGGACTCATAGTGATCCTCCTGTCTCAGGCTCCCCAGTGCTGGGATTACAGGTGCAGGGCTCAGAGCCAGCACAGCATGCAACAGAAAGACTGGGAAACTGAAAATAAGTGGTCATTGACATAAGGCCCAATACTTGAAATAAATGACAGCAGAGGAAAGAAGGCAAAGTAGCCTAACACAGGGAATGCAATCTCATTTGCTTTCCTTTCACTTTGTTTTTCTGTCATTTTATGAAAATGTTGGAATAAGGTATCTAATCTAGGTGATATTTCATAGACTATGAAAGTAAGAAGGGATTTAGGAAATATTCTTTTAGGCCATGTCCAACTTTTACAAAATTATTTCTAAAATAATTTTTAATGCTGATTTGTCTAATAAAATGAAATTATGGAGCTAGGTTGTATGACTCTAGGTGGTGACATGCCTTTGGTTGTAGTGATTCTTTTGCACCTGTCTCACCAATATCTGCTTGTGGGACTAACATTATTATTATCCAAGAGGATAGTTAGACAGGAGATGTGTGGAGAATTCACTGTAGTAATTATTTTACCAAACACTGCCAATATGTTCAGATTGTGAGTAGGTGGGTACTATTGTTTTAATAAATAGTTAATAAAGAACACCATGTGGCCAAATGCTGCTTAATGTTCTTATCCTGCTTTCGACATACTTGCCTGAGGTGGACCATTTTTATTTGGCCTTTCACACACATATGGCTGTTAGAGAGTTTACATGTCTCAAGGTTGGAATGAAAAAGAATCAGCTGGGCTGTAGTAGGTAGTAGAGAATGAAGGTCTTGGCTTCTACTGGCTTTGTATAGCAGGTACTACTGACCATGAATTTAATCACAGGATAAGACCTTGAAGTAAATAATATCCAAGAGAAGTGATTATTCCCACTCCACAAAATATTAAAGCTTACGTAGAGTAGTTTGGGGTTGCTTGTTTAAACATTGTATTTAGAAACACTTCTCAGTACCTGGATTGACTAGAAGTAGTGATTTTGCTGTACGTTCGTTGTGAGACCACTGACCCAAGTCGGTGCCCCAGAGATGTCTGAATTGGCAGGCTGCTCCTCCGTACTTATCTTTACTTAGAGAGTTACTGTTTTCTTTCCTTCAGTAGCTACTTACTTTCAGGCTGAGTTTGGGCTTTAAGGTAGTTAGCTCTAGTCTGTGAACAGAGAGTGGTCTCTTTCTTGGTAGATTTCTGCTGCATACTTGATGAACATGGAGGACTGGAGTGCTGTCATGTCTTTTTCCTCATACATAAATTTTATACATAATTACTGTGCATTTATGTTGCCAGAAACATCAAGGTTTTTTGGTTTTCTTTTTTCTTTCTTTTTTTTTAGGAAATGAGATTTTGCAATAGAAGTTGCTCTTCGTAAATGAAGGAGAATAGTAAGAGTAAGCTGGAAAAACTCTTGATGTACTGGAGTCCAGAGGATTCAGCCTTACCTATGATCAGTAGATACTGGCTGGTTATTAGTAGTTTTGCTTTTCTATCACCACCCCCCACCCTGCCCCATCCCCACCCAGCGCATGTACACTAAAGACCTGTAGCTTTTCCCTGAAGTTAACAGCAGGGGGAAAGCCTGGGTACTCACAGTGTAAGATTTTTTTTTTTTTTAAGATTGTCTTCTACGTTGACCCACAGCAGACAGTGCATCTCACATCTTTGAGCTGGCCAGCAAGCTGGATTGAAGCTCTTTGTGCTTTGAGCCAGCTGTGTGTTGTGTCCTGTGAGAGCAGGAAGCCTAGTGGTGGGTTCCAGAGGAGTGGTTAAGAGTATGGCCTTACTGCCTGGATTCAAATCTAGTTGCAGTATTCATTGGCTCTATGAGCACAAGTAAATTGTTTAACTTTCTTGTGACCTAGTTTACTAACAGGGAAAAAAAAATCACCCTCATGCAATTGCTATCAGGATCATAGGAGTTAATTATATGTAGAGTACCTAGAACAGAGCTTGGCATATAGTCAACTCTCAGATGTTAGGTATTCCTGTATATTATTTCTCCCTAATTATCTTTGTAACTTTGGTCAGTTGCTTTCTTTTAGTGTCCTAGCTTTTAAAAATAAGCCTGATAACATCATACCCACCAAAACCAAGGGGATAAAATTACATAAGTTCCCGGGAACAAAGACTGTTCAACTTTCATAAAATTGCGTTGCCATTTGTGCATATTGAGAGGATGCTGAAACCTAATAATTCTGCTCCAGATGTGCTACAGAAGGAACAACAACCCCTTCTAGCTTCTACCTTATTTTTTCCTATCTGCTTAGGGTCCTAGAAATTTGTTTGGGAAACTAGTCAAAAGACATGGTGGAGAAAATGAAGAGTTCCTACTTAAGAAAGGAAAATACTAAGTATGCGCTGTGTCTGTCTCATATGCCTGTACTACCAGATGTTTTGTGTACTTTTAAGAAGACTGATCTTCTGATGTGGTATGATGAGTCCTTTTTTCCACAATCTTGAAGAAGCAGAAGTCTGGTTTTTTTTTATCAATGGACATTTCCTCTAAATGAGAACATAAATTTTTTCTATCCTAGTGGCTCTTTTTCTGCCCATTAGGACCTTCATACTGAGCTACATTCACAGTCTTTTTTATTTTTTATTTTTAGACAGTGTCACTCTAGGTCATTAAGTTGCCCAGACTGGATTCTTGCCATCTTCCTGAACTATTAATCCTCCTACTTAGATTCCTAGAGTGCTGGGATTACAGGCATGTGCCACCATGCCTGGCTCCTAATGGCTTTTTGATTAAGTTTGTCTCGGTTCGTAATCCCAAAATACACTAGGATCAGGATGAAACAGGATAGTACTTATTTAAGCAGAAGATCAAATCAGGGCTTAGAAGGTACGTTCTCACTTTTCCTCTGGGGATATAATGATATGTATCTTTTGTGTGAGAGAGAGGGTTCCCTTGAAACACATTGCTAAAAGGTGTCTCGTTACAGTCAGAATTGTTCCATATTACTATTTAGGAGCACTGTAATACTGGAGAACACAGCCTAAGTTATCAGTTATGCCTACAGCCTTTAGCTTATAGGTATGGCAGACTGTCATTTTGCTGGTGGCTATAGCTTTTCTTTTCAATAGAAATTGCTGTTTGTGTTAACACATCATTGCAACCCTCTTGGAACTCTGCTAAAAGATAGGTAGCAGAAACCATTAAGCCAGTTTGTCTTCTCAGTCCAGCATAGCATCCTTTTCATCAAAAGATGCCTGTTTATTGGACTGGATTTTAAAAATCCTGACACCTTTGGGTGTGACAGCAAGCCACCCCCCAAAGTAGGAAGGCAGCTAAGGAACAGGGGTGCAGTTTTTTCCCCTGTCCTTAGTTTGCCAGGTATATGGCAAATTACCTTAATTTCCTAGCATATAATCAGAGTGGTAAAAAATATTTTGACCTTATGTTTGGCTTTCTTTTGTTAGTTCCATTTTTGTTTTAGGGCAAAATGGGTCTGTCATAGAGACCAGGCTGATAGACATCTTTCAGGTGCTTTGTTCCTTAGGAGATTATGGACCCTTTAGAATCTTTGATAAATCACTGTACCTGGCTGTGTGCTGTACCTCGTCATGCCAGTTTCTCTTAGCTGGTTGGAAAAACACAAGAGAGGCTGATCGCCTTCCTACTAGGATTCTTAAGTAACCCAGCCAGTCACAACTGCTGAGCAGAAGCTGGATGTTGGCAGAGGGTAATCACCTCTGTGGGCTGGGCCTGGTTATTCTGCCACCCTATGACTGGTGGACACTAGGCGTGGTGGGCATGCTGGCCTAACTACCTGTTGTGGAACACTGTGACTGTCAGGGCCAGGCCACAAAGGCAGTAACCTGAAACCAGTCCTGTTGGTTTTCCTTCAGCTGCCTAAAGCTGAAATCTGCATTCCAGATGAAATCTGCAGGGAAGGGAAAGAAAGCTTTAAAAGAAAAAAAAAAGTTTAAGAGCAGTAAATTAATGGCTTTGAGAGTTGTGGGCATTTTGAGATGATCTCTTTCGTTCTAATTTTGTTTCCTTCTTAGAACTTTGTAGGTAGCTCTTGATACGGGCCACTGCCTGTTCTTTGGCGTGGATCACCCAAGCCTCTCGGCTTACAGTCCAGAAGGACTCACAAGTATTTCAGTCATTTTCTGCTGATTCACTTCTGAATCCCTTGGGCCGGATAAGGGTGGTTAAGGGCTGTCAGGATCAGCCTGCCGGCTCAGCACTTTCAGGAACTTTACTTGCTCACCAATGAGGAAGTTGAGTGCAACCAGGAGAAGCCGCACAAGCCTGGGGCGGAGCTCCTCCCGAAGTCCTGGGCTGGGATTACTTACCGGGCCAACGACAAAAAGCCTTTTGTCCGGGGAAATAAATACGGAAGTCCCAGAAGAGCAGCCGTCCCTCCGTGTGTAGTAAGGTGCGCAGCCTGTGCTGCTTGTGGGCATAGAGCTCCAGGCGTTTCACAGTTGCCCTAGACGACGTCTAGCAAACCGGAAGGGAGGGCACAGTGTCCTGAAAGAGACCAAGTGTGTTCTCTGGGCCGCTGAGAGACTGGCTCCCTCAGGCCTCCTGTTGTTCCCTGTCCTGTAAGTTCAGAGCAGGTGGAGTGGATGAAGAGAAAGCAGGGAGAAAATAACTCAAGTCAGAGCTTCCTCCAAGGGCACTGCAGACATGGAGGAGGTTGGTAACTCTCTGAATGGCAGTGATGTGTTGGAGCCAGAGAAACCAGAAGCTGGACTTGAAATGGCTCAGTCTATCCTCAGTAAGTTCTCCATGAAATCCCTGTTTGGATTTACAAGTAAATTGGACTACATGAAGCCTACAGAGGAAGAGGCAGTGCTGAAAGCATTCCACAGCTTAGATGTGGACCCCATACCACGACAGGACGATCCCAGCAATGGTCTGGATCTTCAGCAGACAGAGACTCCAGTTCTACCTGATTCTCCAAATGATGGGAATACTGCAAGGGTGGAGACAGGATCAGAGGGAAGTCATGGGAAAGCGGAAGCAGGGGCTTCGCTCCCTGGCCAAGAGCTTCTTCCACTTGCAGCTCTGGGTGTGGATGGGGATGATGTCATTTGTGTCCGTGGGACCCTCGTGCAGACTACCAGTGATTCTGACTCTGACGGTGGTGGCCAGGAGCTGGAGGAAGGAGGCAGCACCAGCACTCCAAAGTCTCCCCATGTTGCTTTATCTGAACCATCTCAGGAGTCCAAAGAGAACTTAGGAGATGCTAGGGCAATCATTGCTCCTGGGGAAGTGGATGATGCCGAGCTGTGTGCAGAAGATCCTCAAAGGACTCCCACAAGGAGTAGTGCCCTGGAACCTGAAGACAGTGGCCTTCAAACAGAGCACAGCCCCAGCCATGGCCATGCAGAAGGGTCCCAAGACCCACCTGCAGCAGCACACCAGAATTTGAGTACTGATGCTACTGAGGCTGTGTCTTCTAAAAGAGAAGTCCTTGGGGAGAAGTCATTCCAGCTTCCGGCCTTTTTCAGTGGGCTTCGTGTGCTGAAGAAGGGGGCTGCAGCAGAGGTGGGAGAAACCATCACTGAAATTAAGCCAAAGGATGGAGACCTGGCTTTGCTCAAGTTGACTCAGCCTGTCCAGAAGTCTCTGGGGCAGGCAGGGCCCCAGGCAGTGAAGAGCAGTGAGAGAACAACCGATGCAAAGGCCACTCCCACTCTCCTGGAGCAGCTCTCTCAGCTGCTCAGCATTGACATGCCCAAAACTGACCCAAAGGCAGCAGACCCCGTGTTGCCCAGGGAAGCAGAGATGGGCTGCAGTACTGACCAGGAGGGCCAGGGGGGCTCTGGAAATGCCCAAGCCCAGAGCGGCGAGGTCAAGCCCAAGCCCCCAGAGACAGCCCTGGAAGCCTTCAAAGCCTTATTCATCCGTCCCCCCAAGAAGGGGACCACAGCTGACACTTCTGAGCTGGAAGCTCTCAAGCGCAAGATGAGGCATGAAAAGGAGTCCCTCAGAGCTGTGTTTGAACGGTCCAAGTCAAGGCCGGCGGATGGTCCCTCAGATTCCAAAAGTGTACGTAGAATCGGGTTTTGCATTTTGTCATAAAATGGGATGCTAAGATTTCCCAGGTTTCTTGTTGAAATAAACCTTAGTAGCCTATAATTAGCATTCTCCTTCAGGTGAAAAATGAATAAAATGAAATTACATTGTCTTTGGAAGAGATATTGATTGGACAGAAATACCTTTCTTGTTCACACTGTTCTGGAATATAATGAGGGATGTATGTACAGCGGTGTGGGTAGGAGGAGGAAAGGTTCACCGAGTTTCAACATCGGCAGTAAATGTACTTATAAATGCTTGGCACCATAATAGAATGTGGAATATGGAAGTAATGTACTAGAGAAGGGTAGCCCAGATTTATAGGAATTTCCTCATTGCCTAATACCTCTTGGCAAACTGTGATTTCCTTTCAGCGTCTGCCACTTCCCAAAATACATGTTTATGATGTGATTGAAATGTTCTACGTTGGTTGTAGGACTTCCTGATTGAATACTGAGAACTAGATTTTAATTCCAACTCTGTCATTTACTAGCTGGGTGACCTTGGTAATCTCAAATGCTCATTCTCCTCATGTGCAAAATGAAGAAAATGTCCTTTACTTTTATGGCTATTATGAGGATTCAATTCAATTAGCGTATGAGAAGTATCTAATTCAAAGAAGTTATTATTTAAAGAAAATTGAGTTAGGTGATTTATCAAATCTGGGAAGCATTTGTCCAGTGGAGGTTAGATATTTGTTAAGAACAATGAATTTCTTGCTTACTGCAATTTACTGTATGTTTATCTCTCCCTTTGCCTATTTAACATATTCAGTTAAAACATTAAAAGTTAAAGTCTTCAGAAAAGCTATCTCAAATTGTAGTTAGAAACTAACTACAATTCTCCTACTTGGAAAAAAAAAAAAATATATATATATATATATATATATCTTGCATGCAATGACCCTTGGATTAATTTTTTAATTTGAAAAAAGAAAATGGAAGTGTGGAACGCTTAAAGAAGTATTTCTTGGCTTATTGCTAATGTTCATGGAAAATTCAAAGTAAGTTCTTACTACGATAAATAATCCTGGAGCTCATTGGAATACATTAGTAAACATTTCTGGTAAGTATATGTGAACATAGTGAATTTGTATCTATATATTTAAACCTTAGTTTTATTGTAAAAATTGCCTTATAATAAAAATAACCTAATAAGTTGTTTAGTTTTTATCCTTGAGGTTTTTGGTTTTACATTTTTATTTGCATTCTGGGAAAGGACGACAGGGCAGTCCGATGTATCAGTTGCCCTGAATGATACAGCAACGTGCAGCTGCCATTATAATTAAAATGAATGATAGAATTAGTGTTGATATGTTTATCTTCATTTACTAATGGGCGCTGGCCACATTTTCTTTAACTTACTCTCTGCTCCCTTTTCAACAGCCTGACCAGAGCCCCACAGAGCAGGACGACAGGACTCCGGGCCGACTCCAAGCTGTCTGGCCACCCCCAAAGACAAAAGACACAGAAGAGAAAGTGGGATTGAAGTACACTGAAGCAGGTAATGTGAAAGAGAACGCAAGATGAATTTCTTCCGCCGAGGCTTTTAGTTCTAATTCAGGAGACAGGCAGAATTTGGGGTTCTGTTTCATTATAAAATGTAATGCGGAAGGCGTCTTCCCTTTCTTGATTTTGCTTTTAAAGTGAACCTCTTTGCACTTTTACTGTAACGTGTCTGGGAGAGATGAAAGGTGAATGCAGTGGAATGAATGGAAGGGGCAGAGGAGTGGAGCTGGGAACCTCTGGGAATGAGCAGAGCAGGTCGATTACAAATTCCTCAGGAAGCAGGTGGCCGGGCCTCCTGTAATGTTTCTGTGAGCTGGCAGCATTGCTAACAGAGGCAGAGTATGATTCTCCAGAGCTGTAATCTGATTTGTTGTTTGTCTCTGGGTAATGCTTTTGAGATAAAGGAACCTTGTGCAGAGTGAATGTACAGATACCATATCAGTTACTCTTTCACTTTCATGAAACAAAGCTTCATTTAATGCATGGCCAATTTTAAAGCAATCTAACTCTCTGGAACGCTTCCCAGGCACTTTACTTTAATCTATTTAGATGGAAGAGGAATCTAGGTGTGTTTATTCTTTACAGAAAGGATCATGTGAAATTTAAAAAAATATAGAATTAGAGATGGCTCTCTCTCTCTCTGTCTCTCTCTCTTTCTCTCTCTCGTGTGTGTGTGTGTGTGTGTGTGAGAGAGAGAGAGAGAGAGAGAGAGAGAGAGAGAGAGAGAGTACCTCTTTGCTTTCAGTGGGTACAGATATTTTGATATTTGGAGGTTATCTACTGAAAAAGCCCCAGTCCCTTTGGTATAGTGTGCTTTAATTTTATTACAAACTAGAGGAACTTGAGGTCAGCAAGTTGTGTTGCAGGCTACATGCTGTACCTTCTTGTCTACCTAAAGTCTGCATGGCCAGTAATTTCTGGCCTACCTTGAGTTTTCATTTAGCAAAACTTAAGTGGCATGAAGATAGGTTGAACTCTGTCAACACACCCGGACACTTCATTATATACCACTGTCTTCTATTTCAGTCCCAATCAATTTTTAAAAATTCTATTGCAAAAAACTCATTCACAATCGTTTGTCTGTTCTCCAGGCCCAGTGGACTTTGTCTCAGGCAGTTCCGGTGGACAGACATGTTTCAAGCCCATTGAGTTCTCTAAATATCATTTAGTACTTTCCTAAATATTGTCTACATTTTCCATTTTCCTCCTTCTTTATGGAAAAGGGGTTATATAAATTTCTGGACCCTGTAGGGCATTGGGTAATTACATTTTGTGTTTCCTCTGTAAGTATGTTTGTGCATCTTTTCTCTCATTTTGTGTTTATTTTCAGTTCATTTCTTGGGAATTTTCAGAGGCTGAAGGGAGGCCTTTCCTTTTGCCCTTCATTATATGTAGTTTATATTTTGTTGGTTGTCTTACTTAGGAATGTGTAATAAGATCAGCCTATATAATTATGGAAAAATCTTTCTTAAGTGGATGAAAGTTTGGGTGGTGCAGGTTTTGCAGAATCACTGAATTATTTTGGGGGTTGAGAACATATTGACAAGTGACTCTCAAGACTATTTCTAGCCTGCATGAGTCCAGCTGCATGAGTCCAGTCTTTTGACTTCCCTAAGACTTTAACTACTTCATACCATTTTATTTTTCTCCAGTATTTGGCTTACAGGATCAAAATTACTACATGCTTCATTAAATATATATACAGGCATTTCAGTCTTCCTGATCACCTTTGATTTGTCCAAAGTTGAAGCATGGTAAGCATTTACTAGGTTATTTTTCTCATCATCTGGCAAAGTGTGAGTTAATTACACTGAAGTTTGCCTTCTTAAAAAAAATCTATAAATTCTTTTTCTTTGTCTACAGTGGTGATTCTAGCCAGTGTGCCAATCTCCCCAAACAACAGACTTTGCCGAACAGAGGAAATAAACATCATAATTGCAATTTAAATCCCTATAATATTAAGGGCAGTTGCACTTCCAAAGGTCTACCTTAGTGTTCTTGTCCCATCCTCTTCCCTTTCTGGAAGCAGAGAGCAGAGTCCTGATTTCCCTCAGTGATGGGCTTCCCAGTTGTTTTGATTGATGCATTCACAGAGCTGTTTGTGGTCTTAGATGAGATGCAAAAAGGAGGAGAAAAGAAGATGCTAATAATGAGAGTGCTGTTTGGTGGGCTGTGAGTGAGACAGAGAAGGCTGCCTTAGTCTGGAGGAGGGACTGGCTCCCCAGCCAGCTCCCTGGGGTGGCAGTACTGGAGCATACCCACTGGGCATCCTGCTGAGGAGCTCTGCTGCATGAGAGCCTTCTCTGTGCCCAGTAATCTGCTGATATACTTTGGGGAGGAGGGTTTCCAGAGAAGAACATATTCCATGCTTGTAGGAAACTTGATCTTTACCCCATTACTGAATATCAGCCTGTAGTTGCCATGTCATTCATTGATTGCTAATTTTAGTATGTTAACAGTTGTTAACAATGTTTTTGAAAATCTGTTCCTTTGGTTTACAAGAACACATTTCATGGTATGTCCACTGCCTCCCTGACCTTAAGAAAAACATGAAAATCTATAGGGAGCACAGAGACAGAAATTAGATCCAAAGTAGATCAAGATGTTTAAAATCTGTGCTTTTACATATCCAGTGTTCTTTATTTTTACTTTTATTAGTGCCTGCTTATTGTACATGATGACTGCACTCATGGTGGGAGGTGGTTCACGTCTATAGGACATATTGGCTCTTGCCTCGTCCCTGCTCCCTCCATCGTGCCTACTTTATCCACTTCTTGTTTTCCTTCTTAGTGTTTTTTGGTTTTTTGTGGAGTGCGTTATTCATTAATTTAGTGAAATGAGAAATTAAAACTCTGTCACACATATTCTGCTGGAATTCAGAGCTGTTGGCATCTGTTATGGTGTGTGTCTTGATGCCCCTGCAAAGCCTCATGAGGTCATGGGATAGGTTTTGAGAGTCTGTAATTCACTCATGGTCCAGTGCTGGGATTCCGGAAGTGAATGCTCTGCCGCCCTGGGGAGCATGGCCTGCATACAGTACCAGGGAGCGAAGGATGCTGGCTCTCTGCAGCTGCTCCTCCCTTTTGCTCTTGCTGCCTTCTGCAACCATGAAGCTGCCTTCTGCCATGTGCCACCCTGCCTTGGAGCCAGCTGAGTGTGGATGAAACTTCCACAAACTGTGAACTAAATATACCTTTCCTTGCTTAGTTTTGGGTGTCAGGTATCTTGTCTCAGCAATGAGAGAAAAGTAACCAAGACAGCATACATACTCAATCTTGGAAGAGATGCGCAAGAGATGGTGTTTCATCACGTGCTTGCTCCTGCACTTGTGCTGCCCTTCACCACCTGGGGCTTGTGCTGCTTTGATTTCCCTCAATTTAGAACTTTACACTCAGTGCACTTTTCCTGGACTCTTACAAGATCACCCAGTTACATCATTGCACTTTTGTTCAGAGAAGAATGAAGAGAGCCAATATAAGAGAAGATGTTTAAACTGGCTTCTAGAAACTTAGATGTGTGAGTGTGGCTACCCACTGCCATGCCTAGGTTGGTCCCCACTGCTAAGGTTGCTTTCTCCTGACACTCCCAATGTCAAAGTATTCCTTGAAGCTGCAGGTAGTGTGACCACCTCTGCTGACAGCCGGAGCCTTTGGCTCATGCTAGAGCTTCCTGTGGCATTCCAGTGACACTACGCCCACCATCAAGGGTACTCCTGCAACCTGCCTGTGAACTCTGGAAGCCTCGGTGATGTGCCAGTTGAGAGAAACCCAGAACCCTCTAGAGCTGTCACTCAAAGGCCTGTCACAGGCATTTGAAGTAACCTCTACTGCTGGCAGTAACTTGTGGACACTGCTAACTTGCACTCTGTCTGAAGTGCACTGCTCAAATGAAACAGAATTCTTTCCACACAGGCAACCAATCTCTTGAGCTAAGCTTCTTTACATTATTACCTGTGTGTTTTTATCTTGTGCTTAGAGTGACTCACAGAAATTCTCAATGAGAAGAGCCCTTTTCCCAACTTTTTCTTGGAATGGGGCTGAGATAGCGCAAACGAAAGGCCAATGTTCTCCTGAGAGTCTGCGTTCCTCTTCACAGTATAACGTGTTGCTGTTGGAGCAGGTGTGTGGCATGGGATGGCCTAACTTGTCTAGGAAGGCCCTTTGCCTCTTTTTTAAGTGTTCTGCTAAGATCCTTAAGTACTTAATTACCTCATGGTTAGTTCATGCTACCTCTTGTTCTCCACACCGAATAAATCTGGATCCAGTAAAGTTGATTAGAAAATGAGACTAGATACTAACACAAAGTCCAACCTTGACCAAAGGTGAAAAGGTGTTTTGATATATGATATAAGTAGAACCAGAAGAAAAGGGTCTATCTTTAATTTTGTTGTTGTTGTTGTTGTACCAGGAATTGAACTCCTGACCTCCTACTTACCAGGCAGGCGCCATGCCACTGAGCTATATCTCTGGACCCCTACCTTTGAAATTGATGCAGAAAAAGCAATTCAGTACAACTAGTTTTTGTTTTTTTTTTTTTTTTTTTTTATTCCATTACAAAGTACATTGTCCTTATGTGGTGAGATTCCATAAGAGTTGGAAACTTGCCCCAAATCATTTTAAAATATTGACTGGAAAACATCAAGATATTCTCAGTCATTGAAGTGTAGTTAGCATAAGGCCAAACTTCTATTCATCCCAACTTAAATGAAAAATGTCTAAGCTGTATTACATAGCTTCTTCCCTATTGTTTGTTTAGTACATAAGCACCTCACCTTGTTTTTGCTTAGATAAGTAAGTCTATTACTCTGCTAACCAGGGTACTGTCAAGAATTACATGACCCTCAAATTGGATCATTTGAGAATTTGCTATACAGTATGTAAGGGTGTCTTCACTGCTTAGGAAAAGCACTGAGAGATGGAGCACTCCTCTGGGACTAGCAAAGGCAGAAATGGCTGTTGTGAAACTGAGCTCATCAGAAGGGCTGAAAGATACAGG